CATCAGCAAACTTGCTGAAGGTGGATGCTATCCCTACATCTAGATTATCCATGAAGATGTTAAGCAAGACTGTACCCAGTACTGACCCCTGAGGAACACCACTAGTTACAGGCCTCCAACTAGATTCTGCACCACTGATCACAACCTTCTGAGCTCTCAAGGAAATTATCTTAAATTCATTTGCTTGCATGTGTGAAATTAGCTACAGTACAGTTCATTAAAAGACTGGAAACAAGACCTCTTAGCATGACTAGCCGTAAACCAGGAGCACTGGTAGGTTACCAGAGAATATATTGCGTGGATTTTTATTGAACAATAACATCCATATAACTCTGTCCAACCATTCCTTCATAAATGGCAGTTCATGAGGACAAGTACTATGGTCTTAATCTTGAGAACAGGTCAAACTGCTGAGACTGACTACTGAGAACAGTCAACTACTGACTTGTTTAGGCTTGGCTTTGCCCTGCAAAAGCATAGAAGAGAGGAGGTTGCAGAAACTTCTGAAGTGTGTGCTGTGACTAACATAGCTGGTTTTCTTTACTCATGTCGTCAGAGAAAGGATAAATCTGCTTAGTGTTTCTCCAGTTGGATTATTCTTTCTGTTTATATTTTGTTTAATCTTCCATGATAGATCACTTTTGAAAATGCATTTGTCAGAATTATTGCTTTCAGGAGAAGAGGAGCGTATTTAGGTACGGTTACTAAATTATAATTTACGAATACAGTGGCTAATATTTGTTTTATGATTTTTCTTTTATAAGAAAAATTTTCTTTGAGTGCCCTGCAACAGTAGATACAGTATGAAATTAAGTTTGAATCTTTTTTTCACATCAAGCAGGCTTTTATCTTCCCATTTTGAGTAGTCAGGGTAAATTCTCAGTCTACCTGCAAAAACAGTCCCAATGACTTTATACAGGAAAGAGTTGAACACAGCTTGGTGGCCTTGGAGAACTGAATAATACTAATATAAGCCCAAATTCCAGAACGTGTTTTATTATGTTTTTAATTGTTTTTAATTGTGAGGAGTTGTTACTCAATTGAAAGTATCAGAGCTTTTACCCTCTCCCTGTATATAGTATTGTACTGGCTCTGTATTCTTGAGCTCTAGCCTCATGGGCAGACTAATTTTAACTTAACTGGCTTGAAGATTCTTCTTGGTAGTGGTCCTATGTTCACTATCATAAACCCTGGCTTGCAGATGAAGTTTCCTTAATGTTTGATAAAGATTATTACTTAATAACATGTCCAGACACAACAAATAGCTCCACTTGAAAGAAATTAAGCAAGGCCATCATCCTTCTGAGTAACCATATTCCCAATATTTTCTTAATGTAAATGGAGCCGCAGGCATTGGAAGTTTCATGTTTTTGTTGTTCCTATTATGGTCACATATTATGTAAGCATTCATATAATAGATTATATATACATTTAGAATTTTTCTTTTTTTATTTACACGGGACATGCAAATAGTTCTTGTTCTGAGAAACGTACTCTGAAAAAGTTCAAAGCATAAAACAGATGGTTGATGGGGAGAAGGAAGATGCATATCATGCTCTTCTACTTACAGAGAGTCTGGCCTAGGACTGGGACTGTGAAACATTGGTAAGTGCTAGTTAGGATTAATGACTGTTACAGAAGGAAACTGCTCCCTTGATAGTGAGCACTGGATGATTTGAAGAAGACATGATCAGAATGTGGTCAGACTCCACTGTGCTCTTTTGTTCTTTTGTTTAATTGAGTTGTCAGCTATGATAGCAGTCATAACTGTTGTTGTTCAGTTAGCAGCTCTTTCCTTCCTGGTCTTAAATATTCAGTGCTGCAGAGGTCTGTTCTGCACACATCTGGAAAGGTTGATTAAAGTCTTGTATCCAGCTTCCCATTCCATACTGGACTCATTAGTATGGTGCTCATGATACTCACATGATACTCATCTAGATTGCAAGGTCTGGATTCAGGGCAAGGCTTGATGTGGAAAGAGCACTTACATTGTTGACAAGAAATTTCTTAGCGCTGGCAGATGGAAGGCAGATGTAAGTTCTTTATGGCTCTGGACCATAAAGGGCATGCTACATTGTTTGCATAGTTTATGGAAAAAGTGTCCGTGTATTTCCTCAGACTTGCTGACAGGATTTACTGAGGCAGAAAATTAAAAATCTTGCTTCTGAAATTTTTAAGTTCTTGATTCTTGCCTACACAGGTAGAATATCTTAAGAGAATCTTGTTACAGAGGATAAGCAGTGCTCACTTTAGCATTCAACTTTATCTTTTGTATTCGAAATATCAGTATCTGTTATATCTCATATTTGCTTTCCTTTTATTGAATGGGGTATCTTGCTTACATAAAAACAATCAGAAACTCTCCTGGTCTGCAATAGCATATAATATTTATATGTGCTTTATTAATTTGCTTTCAAAAGCTTAGAGCAATGGAGCTCTCCTGGAGTTTGCATAATGGATAATATGATAATGGCTAAGGCAGAAGTTTCATTATGGGTAGAAAACAAGGATACATTTCAAGGCTGTTGGAAATATCTACAATAGCTTTCACCTTCAGTTTCAGATGTCAGCAGTGTGATTGGAACTGAAGACAGCAGTTTTGACCGCAGCTATGTAAAAAAGAAATTGGAACATGGTCTTTCACGAATATGGCAGGTATGTGTTTTGATGTTTTTTCCTAAATATTTATCTCCCCCATACCTGCCCCACCCCACCCCTCCCACCCCCAGTATTAATTACGTTTATATTTATACTGATCTTCTTAAAGAAGTCTCTCCAGGGATTTCTATAAGTTATTTATTTTGAGCTAAATATATCAAAACCACATAAGTATAATTTCTGTGACTCAGTTACTACTTGGTCACTATGCTTACAAACTCAGTCAAGATACCAAAACGTAGTAACATGACTTTCAGCTTGATTCCACTTCTCCCAACCTGTGTGCTGCTCCACAATCTATTTTATTCTCATGTGTTTTTCTCTGTTAGCACAGACATACGACTTCATGTTTCTAGTATAACCATAGCTATGGAGAACCTGAAGTCCTGTGAACCTGGTTTCACAGTATTCCTGTTCTGACTGCTGGATCTGTTTGATGTGCAGTGAGACCTCAAATGTATGATGAAAAAGCTGTAAACCTTTTCCATGGGTGAACTGTAATCTAGAGATCTGTTTTTGCAGTGACAATAAAGCATCTAGGATTGTCCTAATGTTACAGAGTGTTAAAGAAACTGATTATAATAATACTTTAGAAGGTCAATGAGAAATCATTCATGTTACAGAAAATGGAGTTTTTGTCTACATCTCAAAAAGAAGTTACAAGTGTAAACAAACCGAAAAGTGCGGATGAAACAGGCACCTGAGCCTTTGCCTTTTTGTCTTTAGTGTATTAAGCATACAAAAACTTGTTTGTGTTTTGTAGGATGTTCAATTGAAAGTGAAAACATATCTTCTGGGAACAGATCTGTCTAGCTTCAAATATGACGACTTCATATTTGTACTTGATGTTATCAGCAGGTACGCTGATGTGGTCATAAGACTGCTTCATACATGTGCACAAACTTGAACTCTGATAAACAGCACAGTTAATTATGGCTGATATTTACATTCTGATGCTGACTTTGTTCATACCTACTCATAGTTTGAAGAGCACTTCTTTCACTGTGAAGGTGGTCTGATACTGGAAGAGGTTGCCCAGAGAAGCCGTGGCTGCCCCCTCACTGGAAGTGTTTAAGGCCAGGCTGGATGAGGCTTTGAGCAACCTGATCTAGTGGAAGGTGTCCCTGCTGATGGCAGGGAGGTTGGAACTAGATGATCTTTAAGGTCCCTTCCAACCTGAACCATTCTATGATTCTATGTGGCAGTTTGTGAGGATGTGTTTGGGAGAGGTGGCATGAATTGCTTTGCTGTTCAAGTAGTGCTTAAGTGAGATATGATTTCAGTATTCTCCACCTTTAAGATTTCAGATGTGCAGATCTTACAATTTTGATGTTTCGAAAAGCTTTTAAACAGACTCTCAGTCAAGAGCAGTGAAATACTGTGGTACTGCTAACCTGTACAATATTATATTCTTCTGTTTTGGTAATAAAAGGATGGATTCAGAATGTGAGCTCTACAGCTTGCCCTGCATAATGGGATCTCAAAAAGACATTTATTTTGCTTATGGCTCTTTGTCTCTATGTGTATGGGACATTATGAAAGGATTTGGAAGGAAATGAGACATGGACTTTTAGGGAAGAGTGAAGCGTTTGCAACTTAACATTGGTGTTTTCCTTTTATGGAGATACATGTATGCTCATGGTAATGATTGAGACTAGTAATTCAGGTTGGAACAGTGGCATTAATAAATCAATAAATATTTCTAAACTTTGTTTTATTGTTATAGGCTGATGCAAGTTGGAGAAGAATTTTGTGGCAGTAAGTCTGAAGTTTTGCAAGAATCTATCAGAAAACAAAGTGTTAACTATTTCAAAACTTACCACAGGTGAGACTACTATATGTGCAGTGGATGAATCTAATGGCATTTATTTTAGTTGGGTTTAACTTTTAAAAAGTTGCTTTCCAAAGGAATTCCACTGCATAATGTTCCTGCATTGAGGTTGACAGATAGTGGAATATGTTTTGTGATGAGAATAGGGCTCTGAACCCTGGAGAAAGGAGAGAGTGGAGGAGCCTTTGCTTCTGCTGTGGTTGTGGAAAACTCTAGTTCTGCAGCAGGCAAGCCAGATGAAGATGAAAAAATTAATGTAGAATTTCATGAGTTTTTTCAGGCTGCCTCTTAGGCTGTCTTCTGGGATCCTGAGGATGAATCCCTCTGAAGTCCATTCTTCCTAGCAAAATTATTACTTCTTTTTCTATGCTATTACATAAAAAGAGTGGGTAATGTGTGGCTATGAAATGTTTTTTTTTTTTTTAATATTCAATTTTGTATTCTGTCAAATGAGATACTTAGAACTGAGTCCATTCTTTTGAGTCATGTTTTCATAGTTTTTTTCATTGACAATCTCTAATTATGTTTCAGTCAACTCTACTGTCATATCTGAGGCCAGTCATATGTGCTGTCACGTGCGGGCAGTCTCTGGCCTCAGATATGATATAGGGCTATGACAGCTTCAAGACTTACCTATTTGTTTTAATTGTCTTGATTTCTTGGTTTGGATGATTGACAACTCTTCCATTCTAGTTATCTAGCATTTATGTTCTTTCTGGGTGTAAAAAACTAGGAACGTATGAGAAGAATTCCTTGCTCTAAGAAACTCTTACTTTCCCGGTCTTCATCTATCATCCTCTGTTGTATGAGAGCTGTCATACAACTAATATATCCAAACCCATTTGATCTGAGACTTTCTGCCTAAAATCCATAAATTATGAAAATTATGACACAAGAACATGAAGAGTGTCTAAATTCAGAAGCTGAGAATGTGATTTGGAATTCCTTCCAACTTTGGTAGTTTGTATCTAGGATTCTTCAGGAACTTTGATGAAGACCTCAGTTCCAGTTATCTGAAAAGCTTGAGCCTTAATAAGATGCACATTATGTCTTGTCAGGAGATGAGTTGATTAAAATGCCACGACACCTATCTTTATTTCTTGAAAGCATTTCTGAACTCTGAACTAAATTTTGTTAACTGATTTGGAAACTGAGCTTGCAGCTCTAGATTCAGAAGCACTATTTCGGTCTACCTAACTGTCTTTTACTACACTGACCTACCACATAAAACCTTATTTGGTTAAGTAAATATAATTTTAACCATTATGGTTTTTCTTGTGTTTAAAGGACCTATTTAACAGCTTAGGCAATCAGAGACTAATTTTCTGATTTATCTTTTAGTAAAATAACAGTTAAGGAATATTGATGAATATGTATAGAAATAATAACTTTTTGAAGTAACTTGTGTTTTTTAATAAAGGTAAGTTTTCTTGTAATTCTTGTGAAAATAAAAGGAAATACTTCCTGATAGGTCCCAAATGATGTAAACCTTTTAATAGTTTTTACATGTTTTATTCTGTGTGGGTACTGTGAGGATTAATTAACTGATATTTTCATCCTTAGATGGAAAAATAGAAAAGAGCCCTCTCTCCTAGCTATATCCCTCAGGTTGATTTATATAAAAGCTTTAAGCATCTTGCCTTTTCAAATCAAGCTAATACAGCTTTCACTCCCCTTGTGTATTTAATTGGAGGAGAAAAAAAAAAAAAAAAGGTGGTGCTTTTAAGGATTCATTAGTACATAAAAGCTACACAGAGCTGAAGTGCTGAGAGCCCAGGAGTAATCAGTTCTTTGGGTAATATGACATATGTGCCCTCCTGGGCCGTGTGGTGTTTTGGAGAACTGCCAACATAGAGAAAGTGTTCGAAGGAACTGGTCATGTCATTCAGAAAGCATAGAAGAGCAGTGTAATACTAGAGCATATGTGAAGCCTTTTTTGGGTAAAAGTTGATTATTTTGAAAAAGTAGAATGTACTTTTGGCAGAGAACACCAGATGTAAGGCGATTTTTGGAATGCAATTTACTTTTCATTCGGATACATTTGTAAAAAGGTGTATCTGATGACTGAAGCGTTTCAGAGAAAGAATGCATCAGACCTTCCACGTGTGCCACTTTCTAGACTTGTGTGCTGGTGAAAATGAAGAGCATTTGTTCAAGTACTTTATCAGTGCCTTGATTTCAGCTTTGAAATGATACGAAACCTGGTGCTGTGTGGCTTTTAAGTGTTTGCTTTTCTATAACTCTTTCTCCTTAGTTGTCCTCTTAAAGAATTTTAATCAGTAACTATGATTTTCACAGCATCTCTATCTCTTGTTTCTGTTGACTTTACTGCGAGAAGATCTGCAAGCTCTGGGTTCTCAGTGCCTCGAAAATAGCACTTGAAGTCTATTTGCATTTAACTGGTGAATTTAAATAGACACAGCAAACTGTAGTGATAATTCAACACATTGCTCATCTCATTGAGGCAAGGAAATTTTAATTGTAGTGGTGATTATAGTTCTTTATTGAAATAGTAGTATTTCTAGAATATTTTACTGCCTAATTAGAAATCCAATGCATAATTTAACAGCTGTTACTTGTTAAGCAAAACAAGTAACAGGTTTTTTTCCTATGAGTACTTGCTTATGTGGCAAAAAGATGATTTTTTTTATTAAAGATATTTCTACTTATGACTGAACGAATACTGTTCTAATGATTAAAAACATGATGGAAATAATGCAAAGATGTAATGGCTTGATTACATTTCCCTAATATGTTTTCTATGTTAGTACCAAGGTAAAATTAAGCTGTGAAAAAAAATATAGTTTAGGAGATTAATAATCATTTAGCTTTTTTCTTCTCTGAAAAGTTGAGGTGTTTGTAGTATATTAGTTCTTTCCCCTTCCCTTTGCTGCCTGTTGGCTTCAGCGTGTTTGAAATGAGCATCTATCTTTTGTGGGCTCACAGAAGCTGCTGTACTGCTAATGCAGTGTTTGTATATATTATATTGCTTTCTACACTTTACACAGAGGGACAGAAAGTCCAGTATTACTGCATAATCATAGATGTTCCTCTGTCCTTTCTAATGGTTTTGACAAAAAAAAAAAAAAAATTGTTTCCAAATTTTGGAGATGGACATTCTTTGAGAATTTCTCCAGAGGTGTCATAAAACTTTCACTGTGTTAAGTAGCCACAGCTTTTAGGTGATCTGTCAGCTGAAAGAATGAGTTAAATATCTGTGATTTTTTTATACAGTTTTTGAAGATGTTTTTCACTGCGTAAGTGAAATAACTGCTTACTTCCTGATTTACTCTTGCTGCCAGTTAAGAGTATTCATTTGTTGTATTTCAGAACCCGTCTTGAAGAATTAAGAATGTTTTTGGAGAATGAGACCTGGGAACTTTGTCCTGTTAAATCAAGCTTTAGCATTCTGCAGCTTCATGTACGTTCTATGAATAACACATACAAATATATCAATACCTTAATAGCTTCCAGAGTGTCCAGGTGTTCTGAGAAGTTGTAGGACCCATGAACTACAGTCCAAATGTTTTAAATGGATGTTAAAAATCCTGCTGCTAAATGGCTTCTAAATTTCACTTTCTGATACTGGAAATTTGAGATTCAAATACTTTTAAAACAGTAGTGTTCCTTTTTCAGGCAGGTGGAGGTTTGCAGAAGAGGCTAGAGTGGTTGACATAATGTTAGCCTTTATTTTTCATGTTTTAATGTGCTGTTAATATGTCAGTTTTCCATTTCCGAATTATTTATCTTGGAGTAAGATGCTAAAAGATGAGTGCCCAAAAGTAGTCAGATGAGCACTCACTAGCTTGTAACAACTTCAGCATCTGTTTCAGGATGGTCATACTGGCTCATTTGGAGGAAAAAAAAAAAAGTTAATTCTTCTGTGGTGAAGTTCAACTGAAAGGAAGTAATGAGCAGTGCTCATGTGCACCAATCCTAAGGTGATTTTTGTGAAGTTTAGCACATGGGTGGATTTCACCTGTTGCCAAATGAAATGTGGATGCCTACGATTAAAGCTATCACTGAAGTGCAAAAATGGATATAGCTGAGCAATCTCAAGCAAAAGATAATTTTGTCACTTCTGTAGACTAAACTGTTAAAGTAAGCAAAAAGCTACTGGGGCAGTAATAGCATGGAAGGAAGGGGAAATAGAACCCTTAATAGCATCCAAGAAATAATAGTAGCAAAAGAAATAATATTTTTACTAGAGAAATGGGATTATAAATCCATACATACTGCTCAAGAGATTGGAGCAGCAGGAAATGGCAGAAAGTATCTGATTCATATAAACAGAAATCTAACATTGCAGTCCATTTAGTTGCATACATTTTGATCTTTAAACTTGTTAAAGTACATTTTGCCATTTATGAAGATCAGTAGCTGGAGTTTAATAGACAAAAATGTCAACTAAGATAAGTTAAGGTTTTTAGAAAAAAAAATCCTTAAATTATACCTTACATGCAATACTCACTCCATTTATTTGCAAAAGTCTGTGCACTCACCTCATCATCAGATACTTCATGTACAATGGGTTTGAAAAGTAGTAAATTTTGAAAAGAACTTTTTAAAAATAAAATATTCAGAAAAAAATTCAGCTTTAGTAAATTACTAGGTAACCTGTGTAAAGAAAAATGCATTTTTTGGTAGAATTTAGGTCTTGTTTTATCTCCTAATTTCTGTCAAATAAAAACCCCACTTATTTTTCACCTAGTTTTAGGCAGTGAATATTTTCAGAATGCAGGAGATGTATTCTGTGTCATAGCCAAAACCTGCTAAGATTAGAAAGATAAACAGTATAAGATTGCCAGTTTCAAGGTTAACTTGAGCCAGCATGAAAAAAGCATGTTTAAATAAGCAGCAAGCTTTAGCTATAAGTTTTCATACCAGGTTAATTGTTCACAAGTTTGTTATGCTCTGTTTTTATGGAACTAGAGTAATAATAATACTGAAACTGTCTTGTTGGTGATTAAAATTTTACTTCATTTCTATTAATAGGAATTTAAGTTCATGGAGCAGTCACGTTCCCCGTCTGTGTCACCTAGTAAGCAGCCTGCTTCAGCAATTTCAACAACAGTAACGTTATTTGAGCAGTACTGTAACGGAGGAAACCCATTTGAAATTCAGGCTGACAGCAAAGATGATGAGACAGAAGATGTGTTAGCTTCCAATGGGGTATGGAATGTTTCAGGGAAAAAAAGAAAAGCAAATCTTGCTTTCAGTAAATGATGATTTTACTTTTGGTATCAATGATGGCAAAATGTCTTAGTATAAGGATCAGTTAACTGCAGTACTGTGTGAAATCTCAAGCCAGTTTTCTCCTTTAAATTAGTTAAATTGCTTTGCTTTTAACGGCGCCAGAAAGCCATGCAACTTGTTTAAATTTCAGTTTGTTTTGCAGTGGATCAATATTTTTTTTGCACTGAAGTCAAGTGTTCCTGAAGCCTAGCAAGACATGTTCCACTTAAATTAGTAATTTTTTAGGTGTTTACCTTTCTTTGTGGAAGTAATTTTGTTGATTTAGGATAGGGTTTCTGGCTGCTTAGGAAAGAACCATTGTGGGTTGCTCCTGCTGTTGTATTTGTTCACACCTACATGATTTGCCATGATTATCTGATGTTTATTAGGTAGTTCTGTAATTTAAATGTTCAGGACACTTGCTTTATGGTGGGATCTACTGTGAAACTGAACAATAGCTTTGTGTAATATTTTTTTCAGAATTCTGTCAAAATTTAGCAGTCGTCAAATATGTTTTACTTTAAAACTTTGTACCATTCTCTTAAATGATGTATTAGCATATTTTTGTTCAAGCTTTTGCTCTTGTTTATCCCTTTGACAAATAATGTTTTCTTGGGCTTTTTTTTGTGATAAGGTTGGATTTAGTTTTTTTTCTTTAAGGTTAATTAATCCAGCTTATCACACTGATGGCTTTCTGGTTTTCAGTTTTATCTGTCTTGCTTTCCCTGTGGAACCTGAGTTGCAAAGCAGCTTGATCTGTATCTCACAACACCTGAGTGTGATGCTGCACTCTCTATCCTCCTGTGTCCCTTGAAGAGAAAATATTGTTGTATTTTGCTTAAAGGAAGCTGCTGGAGAGCCATCTTCCTGGTGGTAGTTCTTACCATATCAAATAATACAGCAGAACATATGTCCTGCCTTTTAATGTCAGTAAACTGGGAAGATTTGCATGGTTATAATTGTTTAACGACTTAACAATTAGTTAGCCCTTTAGTAGGGACTTAGTACATTAGATACATTAGACTCCAAATGAGTATGTGAAGCAAAGATGAATACACTCCAGGGTGTGCTGAATTCCATGGTACTTTGTAGAAGCCTGCTCTGAAACAAAGTTTTTGGGGAATCTGGGCAGCCATTTGGTAGGTATTTGCTAAAATGATTCTAAGTGAAATAAGGATTAATGATGATACCGATACTGCTTTTGAGGCTTTCAAAATGAAAGCTCCCTCTACTGAAGAGTTCATTTCAGGCTTTTGTATATGTCTGTGAGTAGTTTTTCTTTTTATAAGATTTTTCTGAAGTAAAAAGATGAAGAAATTAACTTTGTTGGTTCTTCCCCCTACCCGTCCCCAAGACAACTTTGTTCTGAAGGTTTGACTCTGTAACAAATGTGTAGAGCCATAGTGACCTGCACTTGTGAGTGCAGAAATACGTCTCAAATATTGCAAGATATTTTTTACCACAATTTGCGTGTCAAATAATTAGGAAGGTGTGAAATTGTTTTCCAAAGATGATATTAAGTGGAGCTACTGAGACTGGATAGCATCTCAAGGAAAAAAAAAGAATAATTATTGGAACGTTATTTCAACGATCTCCTCTGATTCCTTACAGGTCGCTGTTAGCAGACGAGTGCATACACTGTCCCCATAGGTTTGTGCGGTGACCTGTATGCAGAATGCTTACACTTGTGGAAGGCTAGAGTTGCTAGAATTTTCTTAATTGCTGAGGAATTTTCTTTCGATCTGCACTCTTGTATGAGATATGAAAATTTTGCACACAAGTTAGAACAGATGTTTTAACAGTTTTAACATTTTACTGTTCCAAATCTGTTTCTCCTAGCTCAACTAAAATGTAAATGACTGACTTCCTCTGCACTAAGTTTTTGCTTCTATAATTATGAAGCTATTTGATGAAAAAATTAGGTAGCAAATGCTGATGAACGTGTTGGAGATACTGTTGTGTTGGCTTTTGCCAGCTTGAAACGTCATACTGCTGTCAAGCAGACTGCTGTCAGCAATACTCTGTCTTCAGTTGTATATTATTCTTTTTGCCCTTTTCTCCAATGATGACCTCTTTGGAGAGGTAATAGAGCTTGAAAACAAAAAAACCCAAACAAACAAAAAACCCCCCAAAGCCTCCCTCAAACCCCTTTAGTTTTCTGTACAAATACAGTGCAGTGTTTCAAGTAGAAACTCCCCATGCAGTGGTAGTTACACAGGAATTGTCATGTTATGTGAGACCAATGGTGGTTCTCTTACAATGTCCCACTTCTGGTAATGGTTAGCATGGACACTCCAAGATCATGAGAGGTAATTGGTCCTGCAAGTCTTACTGGGACACTTTGTAACCTCTATGAGTTACGTAACATATAAGTGTGGGAAGAAGCCACCCTCACCCCAGAACCACATTCTTTATTGCAATGGAGTAATACTGTTATCCAGGAAGGTATCTATTACCTTTGCCTTATTATCACAGGGAGTCAATGAATTTAACCATCTAATCATCCTGGGTAAAAACATCTTTTTACTCTGAATTTTTCTGTAGCATTGGAAAAAGTATGTGTATTGTAAAGGTTACTGTTTTCAGACTGGTTGTTCACTGCTGTCTATTGTTTGGAGGTGTGTGAGGCTCAGTCCCAGCCAGAGCTGAAGCTACTTGAGATAGTAAGCATTAGTTTGTTAGTATAGGATTGCCTCATGCTTTGCACATAGGTGCTGCTATCGCTGCAAGCACTGTGGCAGAGATGGGGTTCAAATAAATGTCAGGGCACTCTATGCCTTCTCTGGTGGGGCTGAGAGTGGCTGCCTCAGCGTTTCAGCAGTGGTAGGCTGTGGTCTTGGTGAAACAGGCTAGAGGGAGTGGTGGTCCCATGAATTAGCAGTAGAAGTAGCAATGTCCATGTTGTGGTTTCCCTGTCTTTAAGTTTGAACAGTGTCCCATTTGGTAGGCTTGCACGTTGTCAAGGGCTTTCAAAGCTGGCTACACTGTCCTCTTTTTCAAAGCCGTGTGCCAATTTAGTGTTCTTTATTAGTGAAACCTTAATATATTTTAAATTGATAAAATCTGATTTTGTGCCTGGTGAAGAGCTGTAATGAATTTTGGATTTCCTTTGACACCAGAGGGACAGAATGTTCTGTGTGGGGAAAAAGTGAAATACTAATGAAATGATTTATTATGCATTTTTCTTGTGAAACATAGGTTAGATTTCCAGTCATTCATATTATAATTCTTTTAACCTTTAATGTAGTAGTATTTAGAGAACTTAGGAATAGTGTATAGAAGTAACTTCTTTTTTTTTTTTTTAACTAAAATGTAAAAGTTAAGTTTCAGTTTGTGCAGTGTAATTTAAAATTGATCATGGAGGATGATGTTTTTGATTTTTTTCTTCCCTCCTTGTGGAAATCACTTATGAATATTTCCTTTGTTAGACATGTTTCTAGCAATGCTGTATATAAACAAGTTTATTCCATATGAAACCTGAGTTTAATGCACTGGAAAATGGGTACTAACCGCTTTTAAGATTGAAAGATGTTAAGTAAATCTGAAAAATCATACTGAAAGTGTGGATGAGAGTGTTCAACAATGTTAAGAAGGTGCACGCTTGTTTTTCATCATTGTACTTGGCTGTTAACTCAGTCATCGGAAGAATCCTTTCCAAAATCTTTGTGAGCCACGGAAGTATAATGCACATTTACATAGAGAACTGAAGCACAGGATAGATTAATTAACTTATCAGTAGTTGTACAGGACAGCTAACCTGGCTGGTATTAGAGGCAGGGTTTCTTGTGACCCAAGTGAGTATATTTTTCAGGTGACCATCCTACCATCCCTTTTCACATTTTTCATCTCCTTTCTCCATTACCAGCTGTTCCAAAGTGCTGACATGTAGAAAAATGCTTATTTAAAACCAGCAAACAAACAAGTTACACCTACAACAACATCTTTATCAGTGACATGGACAGTGGG